TTTATTGCAATGAAGTTATAAGCAAATGCCAAATATTTGCAAATGCAGAAATATATTAGCTGGCTTCCCCTACCGCGGCATACTATACTTGTACTAACAAAAAAAAGACATGCCGCTAAAATTTTCCGTTATCTGAAATCCGTTTTTTCAACTTTTTGATACCATTTTCCTTCTACACCGTACGTTGTAGGAGTCTGAAATTTTCGACTCCTGAAACTCCTTGAACATCTCTCGAAAAATATAAAATTTGATTTTTTGATACCTTATATTTGCGAAACCGCCAGCTTTTTCAAATTTCTATAAACGCAAAAAGCTAACGGTAAATTCCATGATATCAAAAAATATAATTATTTTTCTTAACTCACACAATTAATCCTTAAAATTGAGCATTATGTTAACCCCTCTTTAAATTAATTTTTACTTTACTTCAGAAACTGCATAAATTGTTCAGCCTAAATATATGTAATCCTAGTAATAGTTTTGTATATGAATGAAAGTAATTTTAATAGTGTGATAGGTGTGCACAGATTGTATTTAAAAACAGAATTTTCACTTGTTGAAGGGAAAAGTGCTACAATACAAACCATCGGTTTGACCCAACTTTATTTTTTTATTGAATTGATGTACAGTAGTAGACTTGATTATATTATATGAAATTTATTGTTAAAATAACAAAAAAAAAACACCAAAATGTAAGAGGAGATTTCGGAGTTTTAAGAAATTTTTCAAATTGTTCTAAATATTTTAAATTACATACATTATGTCAGTGTATGTATATGAGATAGCATAAGTAAGTCACGATTTTGATAAGGGACTAAATAAAAATATTACAAAGCCAAGAAGTGAACCTCTAAAAAATTATCATAAATTTTTTTTGGTTATTTTTTTACAAAACCATCTTTGAATTTTGAATTAATAAAAAAAAATTTTAATAAATTTTTTAACCTTTTATAATATATCTCGGTAGATTTGGAAAATTAATGAGTAGAATTGAATAAAATGACGGTCATTCATGTTATATAAATAAATTTTCAAAATAGAAAAATAGAATTTTAAATAAATATGAAATTCCATATTATTATGCCATGCTACTCAATCATATTGCAGTATCTTTAGGTGTTCGAAAAGGTATGGTCATTTGAAATACATATCCTCAAGTAAGCACATTTTTCAGTATAACATATTGTAATAAGTGTTATATATGAATTGCGAATAAGGTTTTCGTTTGATTTTCCGAAATATTCAAAAAAGCGAAGAGGCATTTTCAACAAAAATGCACTCAATTTTTATATTTCACATAAAAATAAATTGGGTTGACACATTTCAAAAATAAAAGAGCGATTTTTATATTTATAAGCAAAATTGGTCACGGTTTTAACAGCAAATTGGTTCTACACTAAAAAAAAATATTTTTTATTTTGAAACACATATGTAATTAATAACATTATTCCTAAATAATGAGATTATCATTATAATTCTTGTCGAATTTCAAGCAAAAAATCAAATTGGAGCCAAAATACAAAAAAACAAGTTAAATGATTTCATTCAGAGGTAAACGATAGCCCTCATTACGAATAAGAATGTTTTGTTGTATATTTGATTTTGTGTATAAGAATGTTAATTAAGTGCCGCAATGGTTCTTATACTGACTCATGAAATACCAAAGCCACCTGGACAAAATTGACAGCTATAATTGTAATGTACGAATGATATGAATAACTTCCATTTACTTCATTATAAATTTTATGAAAAAAATTAAAATATTCGGAACAGAAGAGTCTTTAAATTTCAAAAATTCATCTTTTTAAAACTTGGTGCTAGCTTATTACTCATTACTTACTTAAGACTACTTCATTATAAATGAAAAAATCTAAAAGAACATTTTTTTTTTCAATTTTAAAATTTTTTTTTTTTCTTGAAAATATTCTACTATTAAATTACAAGCATCAGGAAAACTATAATAACACAAAAAAGAGTTTCTACCAAATGTACTGCGGCGCTATAATGCAACAATATTGCATTACAAAGTCTTAAATTACAAAAACTTCTACATATATCGTTTTTTCCATTTAAAATCTGCCAGTAACAGAAAAACAAAAAAAATTTTTTTTAATAAAAGTTCCTTTTTTGTTTTGAACTAGCTTGAAACTTAATTCTTAAATAAGAAAACAAGAAACACAAATGGATTAAATGGAATATAAAGAGATAAAAATTTAATTTTCCAAGTATCGATAGCAAAGTTTCCTAACTACAATTTATTCTTAATCCAATGTACACAATGTACACACATACAGTTAAAATGTAGGTGTGTGCGAATATAAATGCATTGCTATACAAATATTTTATAAATATTTAAAAAATTTTGTCTGCAAATAATTATCTTTACAATTTTAAAATGCAAACAATTTATAAGATACTTGAATTCTCCTTTGTATTTTTTAAATGCGGTATGCCAAAAACCTTTGCGCTAAACTTACTCTTAATAATTTTATTTTGTTCCTGTTTTTATATAACACAAAAATAATTAAAAAACTTTATATTATGCAATATCTTTACTCGTGAATCTAACAGTAAATATGAAACCCAAAAATTTGCAAAATAATTAATGTAGTAAAATTAATTCAATTACAGTTAATTTTGTAAAAACTCAAAGTATAATTTTTTTTATACCTCGAAAGAAAAATTGAATCAGCGATAGCTATTCTATGGAATTAATTTTTTTATTTTAAAAAAAATTGCATACTTCTAGGGGCAGCATAAAAATTACATATAATTTTAAAAATACTCGTGGTATAAAAATCAAATTCAATTGCTTATTGATTTTAATAGGGTATCGAGGCCTTTTTAACCAGTAAACATTTTGTTACGTTCTTGTCATAGCAAAACTTATAGTTTTGTTCGGCAAAAATTATAGTTTTAAAGACATACGCAAGTGATTAAGAATTGAAATTTGGAATTTCCGAAAGATGAAAGAAATGTCTAGAGAATGTAGACTGGTAAAATTTAGGACACTTGCCAATTGCCTAATTTTTTTTAAAATAAAATAATTCTGTCAACATCCAATCGACAACACACTTTTTGTTTTTTTAATTCCTAAAACTGTACCCAGTAGAGTTTTCAAAAACTTGCATTTTCAGTGCTTTGAGAATTTTTAAATTCATTGGATGGAGTATGAAATAGAATTTTCGTTTTAGAAAAATAATTTTTTCTCCTAGATCTAGCAATTATTAGCTAAAAAGTTTTGTAAAAGAATGAACAAACGGACTGACATAGTGAATTCCGCTCGTACATTAAAATTTCGAAATTAACATTACAAGCAGCGTCGAAAACCTAAAATATATTAGATCTTAATAAAAAAAAAATTTTTCTAATTTTTTTTCCATTACGTTATTTCTAAAAATATTTTTCTATCTGTTTATAGCGAAATTAACGTGATAACACGTACCTATATACAAACATTGTAGAACAGAAAACTAAAAGGTTTTTTTACTTATGTTACATTCAGCATGATGAAGTCGTAAGAATTTGATTTATAGAGGGATATATGGGGATGGCGCTAGCAGACGTTTTAGAAATCGCTTGGACCGTCATACAAGTCAGAACTGGGACAGATTGCAATATAATACTAGTTCATCGTATTTCTGGTTTGATTGGATTCATTTTTCCATTACGAAATCAAGGTAATTATAAAAAAAAGAAACTCTCTAATAAAATTGTCATTAAAATTATTGAAACTCAACATTTTTTAGATTCATTTTAAAATTTCAAATTCACTTACAATTTTTACACATTTTCACTTAATTTTGGTTATTCCTTTTTATTAATCTAAAAATTTAACTACATATGTAGTATACACGTGCACAAAATTTTTATTTCTTTAAAAAGAAAAATGAAGAATCAAAAGTAATAAATGAATAAGGTAGAAATTTTTAGGAGTCATCATATATTCAGTCAAATCATAAATTTTCAATAAAAGGGAATGACAAATATCCTTGTCCTTTACATCTTTAGGATATTTTTGGAAAATATTAAAGTTGCAAATTTTTAAATTCGCAACAACAGCTAATAGGTTACAATAATATCGAATTTCAAAAGATTTTAAAAAATTTTTGAAATTAAATTTAGTAGTATGCAATTGTCCCAATTTAAATAATTTTAAAGGCAGTATAAATAGTACTCTGCGAAATTTGAATCATGTTGACGGAAGCTCATTTGTTATTTTTCAAAACTTCAAAAAATTGTGAGTAATAAGTGCTTTAAATTTTAAAGCCTTTATTACTCAAAATTTTCTTTATATTTTACAAATATTTTTGAAGTAGAGAAACAAAAACCGTTTTGGTAGTATTCTCAGTCTCAGTCCAAAACAATTTTTGCCATTTAAGGAACATACACGCACAAACGATGATTTTCAAATTTGGTACATAATGAGGTTGGCCCAAAAATTCAAAAAAAATTTGCCGCATATTACAAACGCAAAAATAATTTTATAATATCATACCTAAATATTGTTAGATGGGAGAAATAAAAAAAAAAAATTGAGAATGTGGCAAAATTAAAAAAGAGAAAGAAAATAAAAAATCCTGACGCGGCATATTTTGAGAATTGTTCCAATTTGATTTTTTATATTGGAAAAAAAAAAATCAATTTATTGTCAATATGTTTCTTAAATTGGGGTTTTATTCTTTCTGCGGAAAAGAGGCTGGTATGACATTTATATAACACCATTTACGTATATACCATCAAGGACTTAAAAATTCTTTGATAGAATTTTTTTTTAATTTTACGGCAATTTTTCTTCTCACATAATTTTCTAAAGTCCAGAATTTATCTTATCATATTTACTCAATTTGAAATCAAAATTAACTTCTTTATTTTCAAGATTTAATCGGAGAGGATATTTTTGATATACTACAAAAAATATATGTAATTTAATATATTAATTTTGTAAATATATTTTAGAAAATTTTTTATTTATTATATAACTAGTACATGTATATTACCTGTAGATTGTGTTACATCAAATAATTTTGCTACTAAATATCGATTTGTTGGTGATCCTTTTGCTAAAAATAAACTACCACGATCTGCATGTGTTAATAGGCCAACATTAACTAAAATCTTATGACATAATACATCAATATCCAATTCATTGGCAACATCACGTATCAATTCCATAAATAATTCACCTTGATCTAAATCTTGTAATTGCCTTCGGCTTTCAATTATATTACGACGTGAAATTGGATTTTGACGACAATTCTGAAATGATAAAGTGAATCAAATATATATATATATATATATACATATACTATAATATATGTGTATATGTAAGTACAAGAAAAATATTTAGAAACACGAAATTTGAAATAAAATTAAATTTATGTTATTGAGGTAATCAAAAGCAGAAAAATTAGATGAAAAAATTTCAACATCAATTTTCAACAATATTATATAGGTAGATAACGTATACACGTTCATAATTTTTATCTCTATGTCTTCCCTATGGTATTAGTAGATTTTTTTCCCCAATATTATTATTATAGAGAATATTAAATTAAAAAAAAAATTTTTTTTTTGTTTTTTATTATTGAATTTAGATCAAAAGCAAAAGTATATTATGTTTCAATTCCATTTCTATACATATATGTATGTATGTACTTATATCTGAATGTAAGTATATTTTTTTTTATATTCGAAACAATAATAAAAAAGTAATATGAGAAATATACATTTTTGTTTTATACATAAAAATTTAAAATTCACCAAGTCATGCAAATAAATAAGTAATTGAAATTTTACTCCCGATTCGAATTCGAAGTATGGTATGCCAATTTCAATTCGAACAAAATTATTCGAATATTAAAAAGTGAAAAAGCGATAACACAATTTATAATTTGCTCAAAGGAAACGGACCTAGTTTTATTCCTTTTTGAGCAGTAATTATTACCGCATAGGCGTGCAGTAAAAATTCATACTTCATGCTTATATTTCCCATAATATTTCCAATACAAAACCGGATAAAATTTATTAATTTTTCTAAACTAAGATTAGAATTTACTGATCTAAATGCGTTTTTCTTGAAGTGTTGAAAGAAAATGTGATTTAAGAGAAGAAAAAATATAAATTGAAGTTCTCCAAAGCACTAATTTTGACCCAATATTCCTTATACGTTCGGTACCATGGAAAATCAAATAAAAACAACTTATGTCAGTAAGTGTGATATTAACCGAAAATGTAAGAGATAGGAATTTGAACCGACTTTTGGGGGGTTCGGGCTGGTTCAGATGAGGAGCGGGAGGGAAGAGATCCAGCGATACCACAATGAACCTAGTTAGCCTATGTGTACTCTTTGGGGAGCCGCGCCAACCTAACCTGACTTAAGTGTGATATTTGAGTTTTCAATGTGTGACTACAGGAATATAATCAATGAAATGCTATGCTAAAAATTAGGTTTTGCGACGCTCTTAAAAACATTTGTTTTTTTTTTAAATGACCTTATTTTCAGACCAGCTAATTGAGGACTATTGGAATAAAATCTTATAGTTTAAACTGTCAATGGAAATTAATTTCTAATATATTTACATAATAATATTTTCCTCGAAAAGGGACCAGGGTAATTTCACTTAATAAGATTTTTAAATGTTAAGTAGATACATAGATTACAGCTTATAAGAAAGATAAATTTTTATGTTTTGGCTATATTTTGGACATTTATTTTAAATCTTTCAAGAGATTTTTTCTCTCAATAGGTGTTCGAGGTATTTTGTGCCCCATTAAGTATTTTATAAAGGTTTTTCCTTCTCACCACAGAGTTCATTTTAAGTGAATAACACTGTATTCTTAACAAAGAACATATTTTTGTATTTTTTCTCACGTTTACAATAAAATAATATTTTGTGCGATAAAACAAAATGATTTTTATTTTAATTTATTATAGTTTATGTTATTGAATTTTTTTTTAAATTATGTGCAAATGAAATTACTGATTTTAAAATGGGACCTATGCAGCTTCGATATGCAGCTTCCTATGCAAGGTAAAGAACGTTTTTTGTTTGCCGAAATTTGTTATGATTTTTTAATTAAAATATTGCTATAGATTTGTTATTAGAAAAAAACTCAATTCTTTGTCAAATTTTTAATAAAATTTTATTAGAAATTGAAAAATATTCGCTTTTTGTGCGTCATATTAAAAAAAAATTACTTCATTAATTGTGTATGTAAAGACGTTCCCGAATAAACATGTTTAACAAAACGTATGTATGAAATTGTTACATGAATTGGTGGCATCTATAAGTAACAGAAAAACTTTCTTCTAATAAAATTTATTTTTGAGCTTCAAAATATTATTTGAATCCATTGGTTTTACTTACTGCTTCTAAACAACTGTTTGGACACTGTTTTAGGCTAAATGAAAAAATTTCCTTATTTCATTTGAAAATTTTATGTGATTTTATTAAATTTAATGTAAAAAGCTCACAATTCACGTTTCATTTTCAAATTGTGTTTCAATGCAAAAATATTGCATACTTTCCGGAGAATGAACAAAAATTTAAAACATCATGTCGAACATAATAATCTAAATTGTACTTTTTATAACTGTGTTAAGCAGAGGAATTAAATTTTTTGTTAGTAACCATTGGATTTTTACTTTCATAAAATTTCAAACAGCTTACATTTTCGGTACAAAAATAGAAAATTTACAAATATGTATAAACAGTCGAACATTGAAATTTTACTAATTTCTTAAAGTTGGAAGGAGAGCTATATAAAATAAATCATTTATGAATGCTTAAAAGCAGAAAACATTTTAGACTACTACAAGTTATCCTCTAAGAGGAAAATTAGCATTAATTTGAAAGAATGAGTATTAAATACAATAGTTAATTTCAACGACCATTTTGTTATTCTAAATTTTTACTATACTGTTCCGCGGCAAAATGTATGGCTTGCTAAACTGCTTAGGGTTTCAATATACAACAAATAAATGGCGTTTATCATACTTTGAGGAATTTAATTTTTGCGGACAAAATAAGTGAAAGTTTTCTTTTAAAGAAATAAGTAGCTAGTAAAGATCTATTTGGGTATAAAATTTTAGTTTTCCAACAGATTGGTAACCGAACGGACAGACAAACGAATAAAGTGAAACGAATAGGAACTTTATTCAATTTTATTGGAAAAGTACTAAAACTATATACACGTACATATTTACAAACGTATGAACAATTGAATAAACTGATAGCTTTTCGTCTTAAAATATTTTAACCCCAATTTACTTCAAATTTAAAAAAATTAATGGTTGACTTAGGTTTTTTCAACTCCCGCCCCTGGATTTTTGTTTAAAAAAATCTACAATACAAAGAGCTATAATATGTCTAAAATATGACATTTTTCGCTTCGCATACTGTCACCTGTCTTCTACTGAAAAGGTAAAAAATCATAAATGATTTTTCATATCTATATTTTAACATTGACTGTTATACTTTACATGTATGTATATGTATGTATATGTAATTATTATTACATTTTATTATACAAGTTGTTTGTTTTTGATTTTAGCAAAATATTGTTTAATATTTTAATAATTACATGAAAAACAAAACGACAAAAAAAAGGCTAAAAGCTAATATTAATTAAATTAGATATCGGGGGAAAAGTGAAAGTTTCCTTTTTTTTTTCCTAACGCCAATTAGTGAAAGTGACATCTGTAATCAAAGCTAAAGTTTTATAATATTTTCTTTTTTGTTCGTAATAAAAGTTAACTAACATCTTGTACAAGTATTTAGTTTCTTTAGAGAAAAATCATATGAACACATTCACATATGTACAGTTGAACCCGTATATAAAGAACTCGCTTGAACAGAAAACACCTTTATTGGCAAAACAAAAGTGGAGTTAAAGATATTTTTCTATTTTCTTTTGTTCGCAATATATACGATTATAAATACATTGGTTATACAAACAAAAACGGGTCCATTTATACCTCTACATCGAGTCCTTTTATAAAAAAAAAATAATTTAGCAAATATTTTCCCAGCTCCATCTAACAATCAATTCAGAAATTGATTATTTATTATAAATTATATTTAAACAAGCTCAAACAAATTTATTAGAAATTCAATTTGCAAATTTTGTGTCAAGCAACGTACATGAGTAGGAAAATCGTCAAAAGTGTCGTGTGATGTATTCATACGCGGGTCCGACTGTATGTAATTTGGATGAAACATAATATTAAGTGCTTATCTCCATTATGGTATATGTAGCGTATGACGACTTTTGCTTCCAAGTATGTCAAATGTATGTATGTAATAATATGTGCACGTATAAATGTTCAATGGAATTATCATATTTTCTAAATTGGGATTTCATTAGCGTTTTTTATTACATTAAATGTGAATATGAAACCGAATCCATGTCATTATAATATTAAATTCTACTTTTGTGTGTATATTTATATTTTTTTTATAATACATGCATTATAATATGTGTGTCATTATCATGTACTTGTGTGTGTGTTTACCAAGAATAATAATATTATTTTGGTTATTACTATAATACTCGAACTCTGTACAAGAAGAAAAGAAATTCAGTTTTCTTTTGTGAAATACTTTTTCTGTGTATCTTTTATTGAAGGAAACATGTGTTGTCAATGTCTGTCTGCCTGTCTGTGCAATTACTTATAAAAAATTTTAATAATTTTCATTAAAATTTGGTCGCAATTTTTTTATAAGACCAAAATTACTAAAGTAAAAAAAAAAGTTGATTTCTTATCTTATCAACTACTTTAGAATTCGATCAATTCTATGGTATAAAACTCGAATGTAACTGTTGAGTAGAAAGGCTTAACTCTTCAAGTTTAAAGTTTAAAGTGGTTAGGGTTAAACCCTATTACAATTTTAATAATACTGATTACCACTTAATTCAAAATGTTACTTGAAATAACAACTCTTGCATTTGAAATTTAAGCCTCATTTTATTAAGAAATTCCTATTCTAAACAATACAAATTTATTTTTAAAACTTTATAATTGAAAATTTAAATTTAAACCACCAAATTCTGACTAAAAGATTAAAGAGTTTCAACTTTGAACTTTTGAGTTAAAAGCCAGCTCTTAATTAATATTTTCAAATGCTTTTTAAACTCACAAAAGTCAAGCTTACAAGTTTAAAATTTAAAACATAAAGTTTTGAGACCAATGCGTAAGACCAAAATATTCAAAACGTAAAATGTAAATTTTAAATTTTTAAATTTAAATTCTAAGT